ACCGCCCCTCAACAATCCATCGGTCATCATCCCGAAGAAACACCTTATAATATGCCTTCTCAGGCTTACTCGTCGGGCATTCGCCCGCCCTCTGGAGCTTCTCCTCCTCTCCAGTCCCAACAGTACTACGGGCCCAACCCAAATGTTTACGAGCCTCCGTCGAGCAAAATTGGGCCGGGCCCTGGATATTCTGGTTCTTTCGGCCCACCACCATCAGGTCACGGTGAACCATATCCATACAGTGGTTCCCCTGTTAAGTCCCAGCAAATTTCATCTCATGGTATGGGTGCGAGCGGATATCCACAGCTTCCAACTGCTCGAATATTGCCTCAAGCACTGCCGACGGCATCTGCAGTTGGTGGTGGGCCCGGGCCTGGGACGGGCTCGGGGTCTAATAGGGTCCCGATCGATGATGTTGTGGATAGAGTGACAAATATGGGATTTTCGAGGGAGCAAGTGAGAGCAACTGTACGGAAGTTGACAGAAAATGGACAGGCGGTCGATTTGAATGTGGTGCTGGACAAGTTGATGAATGAAGGTGATGGCCAAGCTCCGAGAGGTTGGTTTGGCCGTTAAGAGTTGGTTGGTTTTCGCTCTGTGTTTTTTCTGTCTTGTAGAGTTTGAATTACACATTTTCTGAGTTGTTTCTTTCTGCTGGACAAAAAGATGATTTTCTGGGGTTTTAATGATGTCATGTGACTGGGATTTACATTCTTTATTTTGTTTTTTTTTAATTGTTAGTAGTGTTTTTACTTATCGTACTTTGTATTATTTGCGTCGTTAAAAATCGTTATGGTTTCTTATTTGGACGTTCTATCTCGTCTAGCCTTTTGTTTCTTCGGTTCTGTCCTTGCCATTGTGCTCAGTATGTTGTTCTTATGAGCGAATTACAAGATGGAGGCTTAATCCAAAAACCGATGGTTTTTAGGAATAGCACATGATGAATGGTGAATCAGTTGCTACAGGTTTATTCAATATTAAGTTTGTTTGTTTGACAAAATTTATAAATATTAGATATGTCAACGTTGCTATCCTTTGTTTCGAGTAGATTTCGTACTTTAATTTAAATCTAACATTTCACGTTGTAGATATACATTTTGTTTGAAAAAAAACAAGAAGTATGAGGGTTTGTGTCGTGTAAAACTGTTGAGCAATTCAACTAGTTGTGTTACTAAAATTGGATGAATGTTGATGATTCACAAGTCTTGTCCTGAAAGTTTAAAATGTT